GTGTGCGAAATAGTTTCCAAGTTATGCTAGCCAGTCAGGATAGATATGCCTGAAAGTTACTAGCCCACAAAAAAAATCACTAGTTTGAAATTTGAATGTAGACACAGGTTTCATCATTAGGCTGCTAATATGGTGAACATTTTTTTATCAGGCCATAATCTTGCATGATTTAAAAGTGTATTATACCTTAACAAATCAGAGAGAGTGATATTATTACAAAATGACCCCATGAAAATTCACTAGCTAGTCGGGCCAGTGACTGTGGAGATTTACTGGCCCGACTGGATTTTTACTAGCCACGGGCTAGCGGGCCAGTGGCCATTTCGCACACTGTGTGTGTGAAAGGATACACTCACCTTTTAATGAACACCTGGTATCATCACTATTTTGACCTAAACACATGCTTATGATATAGTCAGAATTGTACTGTCGATTTTGTTTGTATGTTTGTTGATTAACGCCACAGCTATATTTCAGCTATATGGCGGCTAGCGACTCTGTTTTGTATGGATATGTTTTTTTTATTTCATTGCAATATAAAAATGTATATGTCCTCCTTTATCAGTCTAAGAAATGCCTGCCTGGAAAGTGTGTCACTATGTAACCTGTTTAATCTTCCCTGTTATACAGATGTTGCAGGGGCATATTCAGACTCAGAGAGAGGCAGTGAGTTTTCAAAGTTGCTAAAAAAATATGAAATATTCACTCATGTATGCAGACATGACCTGGATAGGCGTGACTTCATCACAGCATGCATAGAGGATTTCAAATGCCTCTTTATTTGATTTCTTGAATGAAATCTTTTGATTGAGTCTCCTCAGAAGCGTTGGAGTGTCGCTATGTTTCATTTATCAAACTGAATTCACCTGATACATACATATACATTTTATTTCATATGATTTAAAAACATTTTGTTGCATAATATGTGATTTAGATTTATGTTTGATTATTCAAGGACTGACTATCATCATGTGCGAGTTCATTGGAGTATCCTGAACAACATTAGATACGCACCACACTAAAATGCACCGACGATGCTCAGATATCATGGGTACATTTCAGTGAGATGGGGATATTTCTTATCATATGGGTGGTGCGTTTCTAATGTTGTTCAGTATATTAGCCTTCTTAGAGTGAGGATAAAAAATATATGAATGTTAGAGGACAGTTTACACTCTGTGAATGTTAGATGACAGTTTACACTCTATGAAGGTTAGAGGACAGTTTACACTATATGAATGTTAGAGGACAGTTTACACTATATGAATGTTAGAGGACAGTTTACACTCTGTGAATGTTAGAGGACAGTTTACACTATATGAATGTTAGAGGACAGTTTACACTATATGAATGTTAGAGGACAGTTTACACTATATGAATGTTAGAGGACAGTTTACACTATATGACAGTTTACACATATGACTTTATGTTTACACTGGCAGACATGCACAACTACCAACTGTACCACGGAATGAAATGATTCATCACAAGGAGTGAGTGAGTGAGTTTGTTTTTATGCCGCTTTTAGCAGTATTCCAGCAATATCACGGCGGGGGACACCAGAAATGAGCTTCACACAATGTACACATGTGGGGATTCGAACCCGGGTCTTCGGCCTAACGAGCGAACACTTTAACCACTAGGCTACCCCAGCGTCCTTCGTCACAAGGAGAGGTTACAAGACTGTGTATATGCTAAACTTGCCTACAGGATCTGTTGTAATTTGGTCACAACAAATAAAGTCAAGTAATATGATAATTAATTAAGGAGATAAGGTGAAATGGGGTTTAGCGGGGTTTAATATTTCGCTCATATGACGATGTGCATGTGTGTGTATGTGTGACCGCTTGTACTTGCCCAGACTGAAGCTGGTTTTATAGTGCTAGCCCACTGAGATACCATGCCGCAGTTAAAGCATGAATACCCCACTCAGACACATTATACTGACTCCGTGCCGACCAGTCCTTGTTGTACCCAATAATGTCAAAGCGCCAGGCAGGGACCAACAAGTACCATATTTTAACGCCTCTTGGTATGACGAGGCCAGGGGTCGAACCCTCGACCTTGTGCTCTCCGGGTGGACAGTCTATCCACTACACCACGGAGGTGGTCAATTAATATAGGAAGTCAGCCACAGTGACAGCGGGTTGTAAGGGATTTCCATCAAACGCTGGATGGTAAAATGTACGACACAAAAAACATACACAATGTAATTGTAAATATGATTTAGTGCACATCTGCCACATGACCAGCTCAATACAATGTGGTAAATGTGTACGTGGGAATCTCCAGCCTGTAAATAGAGGGCTTCTGCCACATGCCTCATGTAAAGCTTTTCATGTGTTGATTATTGACTCATGAAGACATATTTCAGATGTTGTTTGTAAAGATTTGTCAAACTGATACTCAGGTAAATTGCCAGTGCAATAATGGACACCTATGGGTACTAAAGGACACTTATGTCTAATAATGGCTGTCAGTGCACTAATGAACACCTATGGGTAGTAATGAACACCTATGTGTAATAATGGCTGCCAGTGCAATAATGAAAACCTATGTGTAATAATGGCTGTCAGTGCACTAATGAAAACTTATGTGTAATAATGGCTGTCAGTGCACTAATGAGAACTTATGTGTAATAATGCTGTCTGTGCACCAATGAACACATATGGGTAATAATGAACACCTGTGTGTAATAATGGCTGCCAGTGCAATAATGAAAACCTATGTGTAAAAATGGACACCTATGTGTAATAATGGCTGTCAGTGCACAAATGAACACCTATGTGTAAAAATGGACACTATATGTAATAATGGCTGTCAGTGCACTAATGAACACCTATGTGTAATAATGGCTGTCAGTGCAATAATGAACACCTATGGGTAATAATGAACACCTATGTGTAATAATGGCTGCCAGTGCACCAATGAAAACCTATGTGTAATAATGGCTGTCAGTGCACTAATGAAAACTATGTGTAAAAAATGGACACCTATGTGTAATAATGGCTGTCAGTGCACTAATGAAAACCTATGTGTAAAAATGGACACCTATGTGTAATAATGGCTGTCAGTGCACAAATGAACACCTATGTGTAAAATGGACACTTATGTGTAATAATGGCTGTCAGTGCACTAATGAAAACCTATGTGTAAAATGGACACCTATGTGTAATAATGGCTGTCAGTGCAAAAATGAACACCTATGTGTAAAATGGACACCTATGTGTAATAATGGCTGTCAGTGCACAAATGAACACCTATGTGTAAAATGGACACCTATGTGTAATAATGGCTGCCAGTGCACTAATGAAAACCTATGTGTAAAAATGGACACCTATGTGTAATAATGGCTGTCAGTGCAATAATGAACACCTATGTGTAAAAATGGACACCTATGTGTAATAATGGCTGTCAGTGCACAAATGAACACCTATGTGTAATAATGGCTGTCAGTGCACTAATGAAAACCTATGTGTAAAATGGACACCTATGTGTAATAATGGCTGTCAGTGCACAAATGAACACCTATGTAAAAATGGACACCTATGTGTAATAATGGCTGTCAGTGCACAAATGAACACCTATGTGTAATAATGGCTGTCAGTGCACTAATGAACACCTATGGGTAATAATGGCTGTCAGTGCACTAATGAACACCTATGGGTAATAATGGCTGTAAGTGCAATAATGAACACCTATGGGTAATAATGAACACCTATGTGTAATAATGGCTGCCAGTGCACTAATGAAAACCTATGTGTAATAATGGACACCTATGTGTAATAATGGCTGTCAGTGCACTAATGAAAACTTATGTGTAATAATGGCTGTCAGTGCACTAATTAAAACTTATGTGTAATAATGGCTGTCAGTGCACCAATGAACACCTATGTGTAATAATGAACACCTATGTGTAATAATGGCTGCCAGTGCAATAATGAAAACCTATGTGTGTAAAATGGCTGTCAGTGCACTAATGAACACCTATGGGTAATAATGAACACCTATGTGTAATAATGGCTGCCAGTGCACTAATGAAAACCTATGTGTAAAATGGACACCTATGTGTAATAATGGCTGCCAGTGCACTAATGAAAACCTATGTGTAAAATGGACACTTATGTGTTATAATGGCTGTCAGTGCACTAATGAGAACTTATGTGTAATAATGGCTGTCAGTGCACTAATGAACACCTATGGGTAATAATGAACACCTATGTGTAATAATGGCTGCCAGTGCAATAATGAACACCTATGGGTAATAATGAACACCTATGTGTGCAAAAATGGACACCTATGGGTAATAATGGCTGCCAGTGCAATAATGAACACCTATGGGTAATAATGAACACCTATGTGTAAAATGGACACCTATGTGTAATAATGGCTGTCAGTGCAATAATGAACACCTATGGGTAATAATGGCTGCCTGTGTACATTACTGAAGACCTATGTGTAATAGTGGGTGCCAGTGCAATAAATGAACACCTATGTGATAATCGGCACCTACTTGTAATAATGGCTACCTAGTGCAATAATGACCACCCGTGTAATAATGGACACCTATGTGTAATAATGGACACCTATGTGTAATAATGGACACCTATGTGCAATAATGGACACCTACTTGTAATAATGGCTGCCAGTGCGATAATGGACACCTATCTGTACTAAAGGACTCCTATGTAATAATAATGTCTGTGTACAGTGCAATACTGAACACCTATGTGTAATAGTTGGTGCCTATGTGCATTACTGAACACCTACGTAATTCCATAGAACAATGCTCATGTTGTTGATCACTGGATTGTCTGGTCCAGACAGGATTATTTACAGACCACCACCAAATAGCTGGAATATTGCTGAGTGCAGTGTTAATCAACAATCAATCAATCAAAACCTTTAAGATCAGATGTTGGAAATATTCCACACCAACAGGTGAGCTACAGACCCTGTGACTATGTGTTCCTTCAATGTGTTTGTTTGTTGTATTGTAGGTAGTTGTGCAGCATATAGTACAGCACCTCTCCCAGACTTCCCAGCTCACAGCTTCAAGCCTCCCACGTACCAGGTCAGACACGTATCACAATCACACAAAATATAGTTCAATGTCAATAGCAAATGTGTAAATTGGAGCACTCATGGGTAAGATCTGCTGTTATGGAGGAACTCTGATTGTAACTTCCAGACAAATGATACTGAGTGAAGGGAATTACAGTTAAAATATATTTCTGATAATGTCATGTTGTTTCCAAAGTGTGTTACCATTAACATGACGAAGGTTTCCTTTCTTTGGTTCATGTATCTAAGACCTGAGGGCACCATGGCAATCTACAGCTAAACTTGCTCATTTATCTGCCAGGTTGAAGACCCTGGTGAGAATTCACACAGTTTGAATCCATTCTCCTACTCTTGTGATGAAATTGTTGCAGGCCATTAGGCATTTATGAGTGATGTTGAACTCACCAGTGTGGTGTTGCCACTCAGTGCGCTCCCATTTAAGGCTGTTATGTGTAAGAAAAACAACAACACGCGTTCACCTCTCCCGCACTTTACTTGTCTGCTCATTCAGGCTGCTCATGCGCAGATACATTTCCGTTCTCTTTAATAGCCGGAGAATATGATGTAAACCGGACCATACCGGACAATAAGCACAAACACTACAACCAGGAACTTTCTGACTCACCCATCTAAAATGTTTTTTTTTGTTTTGTTGCTCCCTGTTAATTCTTTGTTCTTTTCGACTTTCTCTCTGGCCTAAACAAGAATTGATATGTAATAATATGTAAATTTAAGTGTTCTCGTGTTGTCAGGGGATCAGTGTGGAGAAGACGAAGGATGTCCGGAAGAAGAACCTGAACCCGGGGCTGGTGACGTACTACAGGAAGCCAGTGATGGTCCACCAGGGTCACATGCAGTACCTGTACGACACAGACGGCAGACCCTTCCTCGACCTGTTTGCCGGCATCGTCACTGTCAGTGTTGGACATTGCCATCCGTGAGTGCACACAGCAAGCTTCAGCCTGGATGCTGCCATTGTAGTAACTCACTCTCAATGTATCAGCTGACTGTAATGATGCTTATGAGTGGTCAAATCTCAACTGGTTTTGTCCGTGTAAGTTCAGGTTGCATGGTCACGTCTGCAGGCACTTATGTATACAGGTTTCTTTGGAAATACTACAACATCAAACAATGCATTTATGTCCAATGTGTAGGTCATCTTTGAGGACATGTTGAACAGAAGTTGTACCATGTTTCTAGTAAATATGGTGACTGACTGACTGACTGAGTTTAGTTTTACGCCGCTTTTAGCAATATTCCAGCAACATCTGGGCGGGGGATACCAGAAATGAGCTTCACACATTGTGCCCATGTGGGGAATCGAACCCGGGTCATCGGCGTGACGAGCCAACGCTTTAACCACAAGGCTACCCCAACGCCCTAAATATGGTGAAAGAGCTTTGGCAGTGGAGGGATATGATGGTCATTCCACATAGGCCTGTAGAATGTTGTTGGCATGTGCAGTGAGATCAGGACCAAGGTGATGAAAAAGAATAATCTCAATCAAAAATCCTTGCTGTTAAAACTTTCTCTTTTAACTTATTGTATATCTTTTTTCTGATATGAACAAGGTTTAGGTCTGACATCAAATTATGAAGACAACAATCAGATATTTGTTACTGTTATGTCATCCCATTTCTGGGACATGGTTATCTGTCCTCAAGCATCAAAAATTATATTTGCATATACCTTTACAAATCCTACCATGTCTATATTTGGTGCAATGTCAATCAGAGGTCAAGGTCATGTTTGAGATTATTCTGAAACTTGGTTTTATCACTGATTGCCAGTTACTGTTGATATTTTTACTTGTACAACTCTGGTACTTGTGCAATGTTTGGATCTAAAAAGGGTCTCTGGATTTAGGGCAGGGTCTGGAAGTAAGGTTTTCTGACCCGAAGTACCATTCATCTTAAAGCTTACAGAAACATCTGTGATGGGGCTTCTTCTGTTTTCACAACTACAATAAAATACAGAATGAAGGGAATTCTTCTGGTCTATTTACAGGTTTGATTCATATGGCTAAAATATTTCTGTCTAGTGTGCAACATTCACTCACTCACTCACTCCAGGCGGACGGTGAAGGCAGCTACTGACCAGCTGGGCAAGCTGTGGCACACCACCAACATCTACCTCCACCCCAAGATACACGAGTACGCAGAGAAGCTCGCATCCAAGATGCCAGGCAACTTGAAGGTGAGGCAGTGATGCTGGCCGGTCATGTAGTAGTTGTAGTGAGTTTAGTTTTACGCCACACTCAGCAATATTCCGCTATATGGCGGCGGTCTGTAAATAATCGAGTCTGGACCAGACAATCCAGTGATCAACAGCAGGAGCATCAATCTACGCAATTGGGATACGATGACATGTGTCGGTGAACCTGACCACCCAATCGTGTTAGTCGCCTCTTACAACAAGCATGGGTTACTGAAGATCAATTCTAACCTCGATCTTCAGAGGTCGGCAGTCATGTAAATATTCTTGATGTTACATTATGACCAGATGAACTATGAACAAAGAACCGATTCCAGGAGCAGACCTACCATACCACCCAAAACAGCCAAAGAGACCCTGTTATTTCACATGACTGGACTAACTTGCAATAATTGCCATGAACAATTTGGGTGCGCTTTAAGTTTTGATAGGAGTGCACATTTGTTATTTGTGGATTATATCAAACCAAATCTCTTGTAGCAGAGAAAGAATACTTTTGTCAAAATCTTAACTTAAGAAAGCCTGAATTGATACAGTAAGATCATGAAAATTTAAGAGTATTGTTTAAGAATGCATTTTGCTTGTAACATGATGTTTTTATTGCTTTTGACAAATTTAAGTGGAGACTATTCCATCAACAAACAAATGTAGTCTTGCCTAAAACATGGTTTACTAAATATGATGGAATATTGTTTCTGTTAAAATTGGTCACTTTACAGATTAAACAGAGGAATTGTAGATTGTGTCGCTGTGTAAAATATTATTCATGTACATTACGATGAAATTAGATATTAGTTTACTCATTTTGTCTTGGGTTTGATTTCTTAAGAACTCAAGGAAGAAATGCTATAATTGGCCACATTAATGAATGTGCAAAACTCACTCTCTAACTCAGTTATAAAGTGTAAAATACCGCAGAGAAATGATGCCAGTAATTCAATTTGCAGGTTGTTTGTTTTACCAACAGCGGATCCGAGGCGAATGACCTTGCCCTTCATATGGCTCGGTTGTACACTGGTGTGTACGATACTATATCTCTAAGGTATGTACAGTGTACAGGTGTTATTATGAGGCCTGACAAATTGTGTTGCTACACAGTGGAAAGAATAGGTTTTTTCATTGATTGCCTCGTGGAAGTGAGCTGAATAACTAACCACAATCATTGAAAGGAAACTGTTACCCATGCGTTTACTCATCCCCAGTCACTGGTTTTCTTTCTGCCCTTGTAGCCTCACAGCCTAATAGCTTGTTGTATAAGCCAACTGGCTGTATGTCATTGTGACCCAAGGGCATGGGAGGGTGCTCATGCTATCAGTGACTGGTTTGCATTCTTCCCTTGTAGCCTCACAGCCTAATAGCTTGTTGTATAAGCCAACTGGCTGTATGTCATTGTGACCCAAGGGCATGGGAGGGTGCTCATGCTATCAGTGACTGGTTTGCATTCTTCCCTTGTAGCCTCACAGCCTAATAGCTTGGTGTATAAACCAAATGGCTGTATGTCATTGTGACCCAACGGCATGGGAGGGTCATGCTATCAGTGGCTGGTTTGCATTCTTCCCTTGTAGCCTCACAGCCTAATATACTACTCACCCTTTGCTAAGGTTCACAAAATTCACAATCTTACTTAAACGCAGATTCATAATTTGAAATTGCATCCATTTAAAAGTGGATAAATTATAATATGGTAACCCCTCTTTAGGCAAACAGTCACTTTAATCTAACCTTATGCACCTGATACATGAGGAACCATAAAAATGGTTTTCCTGGCACCAGTCATCCAATTTTGCAAATCATGGAACGAGTCACTGACAAGTACACAACACCTGTTAATAGCAGGTATGGGATCCACAAGATAAAATGACTAACTGAAACCTGATCCATACTTACAATAAGCTTAGATATTTAAACCAAATTTGTCCCCACATCATAGTTTTCTGTTGAATCCATGATTTGATCCTTAGCAAAGTGTGAATAGTATAGCTTGTTGTATAAGCCAACTGGCTGGTAGTTTGCATGGCTCAGACTTTCTTCTCTGCCCGATATGCTAATAACTGTATCAACTTTTGAAAAAGATTTCACCATCCCCTCAAATATTTTATTCATTCAACAGGTGGAACATCAGTCCCAAACATATTTAGTTTTCTTTCAGTTAAAACATGAACTATGATTGTCTTGAATCCTTCCAGGAACGCCTACCATGGAATGAGTCCCTACCTGATGGGTCTGACAGCTATCTCCACCTGGCGTTACAACACACCCACAGGATTCGGGATCCATCAGGTTAGTAGTGTGAATAGCGAGAACACTTATTGCATTAACTTTTACATTAAATCAAATGCTATGTTAAATTATACATCAAGTCTTATACAATAAGATGTTTAGACAAAATCCCAGTTTGGGCAAGAATTGTTTTTTGTCCAGTTGACCAGCTAGCATGGCGAAGGGTATGTAGTTTGAATCCTAGTCACAACCCTTGCTTCCCACCTAATACAGCAGTTGACCAGCTAGCATGGCGAAGGGTATGTAGTTTGAATCCTAGTCACAACCCTTGCTGTCCACCTAATACAGCAGTTGACCAGCTAGCATGGCGAAGGGGATGTAGTTTGAATCCTAGTCACAACCCTTGCTTCCCACCTAATACAGCAGTTGACCAGCTAGCATGGCCGCTAGCAGAAGGGATGTAGTTTGAATCCTAGTCACAACCCTTGCTTCTCACCTAATACAGCAGTTGACCAGCTAGCATGGCGAAGGGATGTAGTTTGAATCCTAGTCACAACCCTTGCTTCCCACCTAATACAGCAGTTGACCAGCTAGCATGGCGAAGGGGATGTAGTTTGAATCCTAGTCACAACCCTTGCTTCCCACCTAATACAGCAGTTGACCAGCTAGCATGGCGAAGGGGATGTAGTTTGAATCCTAGTCACAACCCTTGCTTCTCACCTAATGCAGCAGTTGACCAGCTAGCATGGCTAGCTTTCCACCTAAGGGATGTAGTTTGAATCCTAGTCACAACCCTTGCTTCCCACCTAATACAGCAGTTGACCAGCTAGCATGGCGAAGGGATGTAGTTTGAATCCTAGTCACAACCCCTTGCTTCCCACCTAATACAGCAGTTGACCAGCTAGCATGGCGAAGGGATGTAGTTTGAATCCTAGTCACAACCCTTGCTTCCCACCTAATACAGCAGTTGACCAGCTAGCATGGCGAAGGGGATGTAGTTTGAATCCTAGTCACAACCCTTGCTTCCCACCTAATACAGCAGTTGACCAGCTAGCATGGCGAAGGGATGTAGTTTGAATCCTAGTCACAACCCTTGCTTCCCACCTAATACAGCAGTTGACCAGCTAGCATGGCCGAAGAAGGGATGTAGTTTGAATCCTAGTCACAACCCTTGCTTCCCACCTAATACAGCAGTTGACCAGCTAGCATGGCGAAGGGGATGTAGTTTGAATCCTAGTCACAACCCTTGCTTCCCACCTAATACAGCAGTTGACCAGCTAGCATGGCGAAGGGGATGTAGTTTGAATCCTAGTCACAACCCTTGCTTCCCACCTAATACAGCAGTTGACCAGCTAGCATGGCGAAGGGGATGTAGTTTGAATCCTAGTCACAACCCTTGCTTCCCACCTAATACAGCAGTTGACCAGCTAGCATGGCGAAGGGGATGTAGTTTGAATCCTAGTCACAACCCTTGCTTCCCACCTAATACAGCAGTTGACCAGCTAGCATGGCGAGAAGGGATGTAGTTTGAATCCTAGTCACAACCCTTGCAGCATGGCGCATGGCGAAGGGATGTAGTTTGAATCCTAGTCACAACCCTTGCTTCCCACCTAATACAGCAGTTGACCAGCTAGCATGGCGAAGGGATGTAGTTTGAATCCTAGTCACAACCCTTGCTTCCCACCAACAGCAGTTGACCAGCTTCCCACCTAAGGGGATGTAGCAGTTGACCAGCTAGCATGGCTGAAGTTTGAATCCTAGGCTTCCCATGCAGTTGACCAGCTAGCATTGAAGGGGATGTAGTTTGAATCCTAGTCACAACCCTTGCTTCCCACCTAATACAGCAGTTGACCAGCTAGCATGGCGAAGGGGATGTAGTTTGAATCCTAGTCACAACCCTTGCTTCCCACCTAATACAGCAGTTGACCAGCTAGCATGGCGAAGGGGATGTAGTTTGAATCCTAGTCACAACCCTTGCTTCCCACCTCATACAGCAGTTGACACTGTTCCAGGCGATGAACCCAGATCCATTCCGTGGCCCCTGGGGCGGAGCCAGGTGCCGAGACTCTCCATCTCAGGTAGGTTGACATTTACAATAAATTAAAGCATTACACTAATTCTGTTGCATTTGACTGGTTAATCAAACAATATATTTTACATTTTTGTAGCCCACATTCACTGATAGATTGATGTTTTTGGATAGGTTGGTAGGGGAGTAAGCTGGGTTGGTGCAACTGTTTTTGTGTTGATTCGTGACATTCATAAGGGACTGTTGTCTACTGTATTCCTTTTGTTAATGATTAGCTCAGCAATATGTGATGTTATTAGTCCAGACATGTAAATAATTAATTGCTCTTATATATCGGACAGTGTGAGGAGTATGTGTGCTTATCTTTGAATAATATTCCCAAAATATTTGAGTGAGCTGCAGAACCTTGTTTTGATCACATTCATGTATAGGAGCACAACTGGTACCATTCACACATTTATTAAATTTTGTGTGTGAGTTTCGAAGACAAGTTACATTGGTTGAAATGATGGTGGGGTTCGTTTTCGGAGGGTAGCTTCAACACTGATTCTCATTTTCTTTGAGTGACATTTAGACGTTGGTGTGATAAACAAGGTGAATAGTGCTAAGGATATACAACTTCTTTATTACAATATATGCCACATTTCAGTGTTCGCATCTACACCAAAACATCATGTATATTGTAACATAGAAGTTGTATATCCATAAAACTATAGCACTAATTCTCATATCTTTATGAACCTTTTGTATAGACAACTGACAAGTGCAGAACAACCGCCTTTTGCAGTTCTAATTTTGTTTTGATTTTTAGATTTTTTGCTTCTAAGGCCATGAGTTGTACTGGGTTTCAAATATAGTTTTATTTTGCAGAACATTACACATAAACCATTCAATATTTCTTGTTGATACTTTTGAAGCACCTTGGAAATCATGTATGAGGCAATCATGTTGAATCAGAATATTGGTCCCCAGCTACCAGTGCTTGCTATGAGAGTTGACTAGATGGCTTGGGGTGGGTGAGGTTCACTGTGTAATACAGTCAACTCTCGTTAATCCGACACTTGTGGTTGCAGAGAAATATGTCGGATTAACGAAAATGTCGGATTAATGAAAATGTCGGATTAATGTATTTGTGTGAAAATATCAATGTTTACTAAATGTCACGATCGTCATACTGTTGCATGCATATCAGAAATGGTAGATCTAGTTATCTTCATCGTATGTAAAAATATTCACAGAAATAAAAAATACTAACAATACATACTTGTTTTCATTTATTAACATTCATAGATGGCATAACATACATATATAATCACATAAGCGAACAGTTTCATATCTATTTCATGACCACATTGGCACAAAACTCACGTTTGTTTTTACCGCATATCAGCTGCCATTATGACCCGGATGTTGAATATGTTACAGTTTCCATACAACTAATTCCATAATAACATGTTGACGTCTAATGTACAATCAAGTGTATCATAACATATATAATTTATAACTTGAAAAAGTCTTTGATGGTCATTAACATCAAACACGTCTAAGTGGTGTGTCAGAAATGTTTGCAAAGTGTTCAACGATGTTTTGGCCTCAGATAGCTTGAAGCATTGGAATCAGTCGAGAGGCGCTCAACCACTAAGCAGACTGCTTCAGGATGTCAGATACGGTTGATCGTCCAATCTTCACATCAAACTTCTGCTCAGCAAAAGTGATGACTTCTTGTTGTGCTGTCTGGGGTTTGTCTTTCTTCAAAAGGAGATTTCTTTCTTGATCAATGGCGTGACTTCTACAAGGGGTCGCTTTAGCAGCTGGTGTACTCGTGACAGACATCTTGTGATGAAAACTCATGTCGGTTGTAAACATTTTATACAGCTCGCTTCTACCGTTATTTCTTGATTAAATCGCCTCAATTAATTATCCTGTGTTCCTAATTAACAAGTGTGATGTTCACTGACGTTGATGTTAAGCAGCCAGTAAGGCACGCGCTAATCACCTTTCATGTGTGATGTTTGCATACGGTCGGATCATCCGACCGGCTGTGTTGATTGTCGGATTAACGAATGTTTTTACAATGTATTTACAATGATCGGTTGCTAGATTGGTGTGTCGGGGTCGAAATGCGAGAATGTCGGATTAACGAGAGTAATTATCACTGTTTTAAATGGTTCCCTAATTTTTTGTCGGATTAACGTGATTGTCGGATTAATGAGTGTCGGATTAACGAGAGCTGACTGTACTGAACCCAAACAAAGTGGGACTCCTCATTGTGCAGTGTCTGTACAGGGCTGTCTATCTGTGACTTTGTCTCCTTGACATTTCCATTCGCACTTTTCATTGGTTCCAGCTGGCCATGTGTTGTTGTTGTTGAGTCAGCAAAAATTGTAAGTCATCAGAATTTGTGGCTTGATACATTATCATATCAAGTTTTTTGTAATCAATCACGTTGGTCATGCGAGTAGTTATATGTTCCATTACAGAGCAGCCAAGCCTGCACTGATGTACACAGTGAAAAACAACAACATTGTTTCTGTGCTAGGGTAGCACACTGTAGCAATATTATTCATAGCTTGGTAACAGCAGGTTGGGATCTTGTATCACATATCTGAATATATTACCATGGTATTTAATAAGAATTATTATCAGGATGCTGGCTATACATGAGGTCTGATATGATTTAACTAGCTGATATATGTGGTCATATTTTATGATAGATTCTAATGCATGAGATGAGTAATGTGTGATATATATTTTACTGGTATTGTCAGGTAGACCTCTCGCAATTGTGATCTCACTGTACTGTTTCTGTGTAGATCGGGTCTAAGGGATTTAGCACATAACCAAAGCTTGGTCCAATGGGCTGATTGTTGAAGGGGCATAGCTAAAAACATAGCTGAAACATATCTAAAATAGCTACAACAGTAACTAAAGGGGATGTTCCATCAAAACCAGATGGCTGTGAATGTCCATGAATTCTCTTCTTTGACTAAGGTCCTGTTGTGTCATCCATCCATCCATGCATCCACCTCCCACCCACATCCCATCCATCCATCTGTTAAGCCACACATCCATCCATCTATCCATCTGTTCAGCCACACATCCATCCATCCATCCATTTGAAGCATCACTATTGACCCTGGTGTTTATCACTGTGTATGTCACGGTTATATTTGTAGACAATCCGGTCATGTAACTGCGCAGAGGGTGAGTGTGAGGCCTCTGACCTGTACGTGGAACAGCTGGAAGATACCATCCGATTCTCCATGCCCAAGGACAAAGTGGGGGCCTTCTTTGCCGAGTCTGTGCAGGTACATTCAGGCAACAATAATTGTTGACACAACCAACTAAAGAAAAGCAAAAGTTGGAAAGAAATAAAAAAAATGTACTTCTCCACCTAATGAAATGATTTATGTCACAACGTACTAGTACAATAGTAATGAAACAGAAGTTTCAAACCGAGTATTGAACATGTTTAAGCTGAAGGCAATCTGTTCCACTTAGTTTTAACATGGTAAAATGTCGACTTTGTTCATGTGTGATTTCATCTGTAAGGCTTCTTGTTGGACGTTGATTTGTCGCTGTTTATGCGTTCTCACTGGGAATCACTGTATTTCCATAAAACTGTGCCTATGAATAGTTCAGTGCTAAACCATGACATTTTCTGCACAGTAATCTCCCTTGATGTGCCAGTATCCGATGATCCCATGTTTTGTTTGTTGACTTATCCATCAGTTGTACCAAGGTGGTGAAGTTCCACATGCTACATCATTCAAACCTTCATCCCATAACCCTCACCTGTGTCATAGCACTGAAATAATGGTGGCATTGACCCCGTTTTCTGTTTTGTTAGAATTCATACACATATGTGCTTATGACTTCCCCAAAAGGAGGGGCGGTGGGGTAGCCTAATGGTTAAAGCGTTGGCTCGTCGTTCGAATCCCCACATGGGTACAATGTGTGAAGCCCATTTCTGGTGTCCCCCGCCGTGATGTTGCTGGAATATTGCTAAAAGCGGCGTAAAACCAAACTCAGTCAGTCAGTCCCCAAAAGGTGACTTAAGTATCATTCAAGTTAATTTCCAGGGAAGGTGCAGTCAAAACATTTTGTATAATAAACTTTCAGGGAGTTGGTGGTGCTGTACAGTTTCCCAAGAACTACCTAAAACGAGCGTTTGAGCTGGTTCGCTCTAAAGGGGGACTGTGTGTATCTGATGAGGTAGGCTTGTTCATGTAGATCCTGCATCACAATATGTCATGATGAATTGGCAGTCACTCCATCATGTTATCTATAGAATGTAAATGCCAGCAGTAAATGTTTAAAGGTACCCGGTGTCCTTCTTTCAACAGAGCATACAGAGCATTATTTCCAAGTAGCATGACAAGTCTTGTTCCTGATTATGAAGTAGATGTAGGGAGAATTAACCCTAACATTTTCAGTAACTGACAGTGAAATTATTCATCAAAATATTTGGAATTCATTATTGTAATATACAGTCGAGCACAGTTGTCTTGAAACTCATGGGACCCAGAAAAAATATCGAGTTATATGAATGCTTGATTGGCATTTTAGAAGATGATATTTGATGAACATAGAGATTTTTTCTGGGTTACATCTTCTTTTTATTCTCGAGTACAACATTTCAGGGCTTGTTCTGGCCCATCATCAGGCAAAACTGAACAGTAAGAGTTATATGAACTTCGAGACATCTGACCAGGGCATGTCATTACATGTCACTATGAAAGAAAACAAAACGCTTCTCAGTATGTTTTGATTCGAAACTATAATCCGTTATCAGTAGTGTTTAGTCGTAACAGTGAGTACTTCCTAATTAAATCCTTCTTAATTAATCCTAATTAAATAACAAACAAGTGAGACATTCAACTCTCAATTAGCCCTAATTAGTTTACACTACCGCATCCCTTTGATTCATGCCGCACCGTGTGTAAACGTGTGTAAACATCCTCAGTTCAGAGGGACACTTGCCCATGAAAGGTAGATGAATATCGAGTTTCTCTGCAAATATCGAGTTAAAAGGGTAACTTTGCTTGTTGGGACCATGAAATTATATCGAGATATCCGAAATATCGAGACATCCCTATCAAGTTAAAAGAGCTTGAATAATGATAAATTATGAAGGATTTTGTCGGGACCTAGATGTTATATCGAGACATCCGAGATATCGAGTTACCAGAGTTCAACACAATGGTGCTCGACTGTAAATTGGACAGATATTTGTACTAAAATATTTTGAGGCTTGGTAAATTGCCTAAGCAAATCATTTACCTCATTTAATGTAAGACATCAGTGACTAGTTTGTTAGTTTCTGATAGATAACCAATGTCAAATTATCTCGCTACCATGCTGGGAGTGCAGGTCTTGCTGCATGTCTCTCTGATGCTAATGTAGTTGTGATGACCATGAGAAGTTTTTTTCTTTAAAATATATGTCACAGGAAATGTGATCTGTCTGTTTAGGTGCAGACAGGATTTGGTCGAATGGGCAGCCATTACTGGGGCTTTGAGACGCATGATGTCATCCCAGACATCGGTAATACTTGTTTACCTCCATGTTTACCTCTCTTGGCTTGTAGGGGTGAATAGTACACAGTCCCCTTTAATTACATAAATTGCATAGATTTGGGAACAGTTTTAACTTACCTTTGTGGCAAGTTTGCAATATTTTCCAAAATGTATTCTCGAACTTCTAAAGGAGTGGAACCCAATTTTTTAACCTTCTGCTTGTTATTCTTAATGCCTGTCAACCAACTCAAGACAGGTCTCCTGTAATGTAGTGAGAACATTGTTTTCTGTGTGCGGATGGTTCAGCATTCCCCCTGTTCCAGTTACCATAGCTAAAGGGATGGGGAACGGTTTCCCCATGGCGGCTGTCATCACGACTCCCGAGGTCGCTGACGTGTTGGGGAAGGCGCTTCACTTCAACACATTCGGCGGCAACCCAGTAGCATGTGCAGTCGGGTCAGAAGTTCTGGATGTAAGCATGGAGTGGAACCTCCTTAGTCCAAAACCCTGTCTATCTACAGACTGCATTTAGAACATACCTCTCCATTGTGACTCTGACAACACTCTGCTGATTTGTTAATCCATAATTTGTGACATAAACACATACAGTCCCATTGGGACGAGTATCGTCCAGATAAATGGGGTTTTCTTTTAGGGTGTTTCTGCTTGATATGCCAGCAGTATTAATAGTACAGTTCCTTTAGGTTATCATAGTGTTTGATTAGCATCAGTTGTGATAAATTCCCTTCAAGTGTAAGGTGGTATGTCTGCATCTGACAAGCCATGATCCTGGTTTTGTTTTGACACAAAGGTGATAGATGACGAGAAGAGACAGGAGCACTGCGCCGTGGTGGGGACTCGACTCATACACAAGCTGCGGGTTCTACAGGAGGAGTTCGACTTTGTGGGTGATGTGCGAGGCAAAGGACTGATGATTGGTGTGGAGATGGTCACTGACAAGGTGAGTGCTACTAATGGAGTTCCACATTGTGGGTGACGTGCGAGGCAAAGGACTGATGGTTGGTGTGGAGATGGTCACTGACAAGGTGAGTGCTACAGGATGAGTTTGACTTTGTTGGTGATGTGCGAGGCAAAGGACTGATGGTTGGTGTGGAGATGGTCACTGACAAGGTGAGTGCTACAGGAGGAGTTCCACTTTGATGGTGATGTGCGAGGCAAAGGACTGATGATTGGTGTGGAGATGGTCACTGACAAGGTGAGTGCTGATGTGATGGAGTTCTGACTTTGTGCTACCGATGGGTGATGTGCGAGGCAAAGGACTGATGGTTGGTGTGGAGATGGTCACTGACAAGGTGAGTGCTACAGGAGGAGTTCCACTTTGTGGGTGATGTGCGAGGCAAAGGACTGATGGTTGGTGTGGAGATGGTCACTGACAAGGTGAGTGCTACTGATGGAGTTCGACTTTGTGGGTGATGTGCGAGGCAAAGGACTGATGGTTGGTGTGGAGATGGTCACTGACAAGGTGAGTGCTACTGATGGAGTTTGACTTTGTGGGTGATGTGCGAGGCAAAGGACTGATGGTTGGTGTGGAGATGGTCACTGACAAGGTGAGTGCTACTGATGGAGTTCGACTTTGTGGGTGATGCGAGGCAAAAAAGGACTGATGGTTGGTGTGGAGATGGTCACCGACAAGGTGAGGCAAAGGACTCGATGGTTGGTGTGTGGAGATGGTCACTGACAAGGTGAGTGCGAGGAGGCACTGGAGGAGTTCGACTTTGTGGGTGATGAATGCGAGGCAAAGGACTGATGGTTGGTGTGGAGATGGTCACTGACAAGGTGAGTGCTACTGATGGAGTTAAAAGGACTTTGTGGGTGATGTGCGAGGCTAAGGACTGATGGTTGGTGTGGAGATGGTCACTGACAAGGTGAGTGCTACAGGATGAGTTTGACTTTGTGGGTGATGTGCGAGGCAAAGGACTGATGGTTGGTGTGGAGATGGTCACTGACAAGGTGAGTGCTACTGATGGAGTTCGACTTTGTGGGTGATGTGCGAGGCAAAGGACTGATGGTTGGTGTGGAGATGGTCACTGACAAGGTGAGTGCTACTGATGGAGTTCGACTTTGTGGGTGATGTGCGAGGCAAAGGACTGATGGTTGGTGTGGAGATGGTCACTGACAAGGTGAGTGCTACTGGAGGAGTTCGACTTTGTGGGTGATGTGCGAGGCTAAGGACTGATGGTTGGTGTGGGGATGGTCACTGACAAGGTGAGTGCTACTGATGGAGTTCGACTTTGTGGGTGATGTGCGAGGCTAAGGACTGATGGTTGGTGTGGAGATGGTCACTGACAAGGTGAGTGCTACAGGATGAGTTTGACTTTGTGGGTGATGTGCGAGGCAAAGGACTGATGGTTGGTGTGGAGATGGTCACTGACAAGGTGAGTGCTACTGATGGAGTTCTGACTTTTTGTGGGTGATGTGAGAGGCTGGACAAAGGACTGATGGTTGGTGTGGAGATGGTCACTGACAAGGTGAGTGCTACTGATGGAGTTCGACTTTGTGGGTGATGTGCGAGGCAAAGGACTGATGGTTGGTGTGGAGATGGTCACTGACAAGGTGAGTGCTACTGATGGAGTTCGACTTTGTGGGTGATGTGCGAGGCAAAGGACTGATGGTTGGTGTGGAGATGGTCACTGACAAGTGTGAGTGGTACTGATGGATGGAGTTCGACTTTGTGGGTGATGTGCGAGGCAAAGGACTGATGGTTGGTGTGGAGATGGTCACTGACAAGGTGAGTGCTACTGATGGAGTTCGACTTTGTGGGTGATGTGCGAGGCAAAGGACTGATGGTTGGTGTGGAGATGGTCACTGACAAGGTGAGTGCTACTGGAGTGAGTGAGTGAGTTTAGTTTTACACCACTTGTAGCAATATTCCAGCTGTATCAAGCTTTATCAAGCACCAGAAATTAGCTTTATACACTGTACCCATGTGGGGAATTGAACCTGGATCTTAGGCATGATGAGTGGACGCTTTAACAACTTGGCTACCCCACCACCCCCAGTAAATGAATGACTTTGTTGGTGATGTGCGTGGTAAAGGTTTAATGATTTGTATGGAGATGGTGACAGACAAAGTGAGTTCTACAGGAAGAGTTTGACTTTGTTGATGATCTGTTACACATAGGACTGATGATAGGTATGGAGATGCTGGAGTGAGTGACGTTGAGGAACCCAAATGACTTGGCCACCCATGCTGAGTCCTTGGGCTACAAGAGTCTGCGAATATTGCACAGCGCTGCTCTCTGCCATATTGCAGCAGGATCACTGTAGCCAGTGAAAACCAGAGACTGAACGTGTTCCAAGCAGCCTGTCAATTTGGCTGTCAGCCTCTCTGTCATAGTGTGTATCTCGGGTTTTAGGAAGGTGCTTCTGTTGTTCCACAGCTGCCCTATACTGTCCGTCTGGAGTGAGTGAGTGAATGAGAGTGTATTGCACCACAGTAACAGCAGCTTCCCAGATAGCATTTAGATGTTGGCCCAACGTGTGGAATGGTTTTGCCAACATTGCCAACGTTGGGCCAACTTACAAATGCTATCTGGGTTGTGTAAATTCAAGTCAGGACAAGCTAACAGATGACTGAAAAACTGGCAACACTCGTACTGGTCCATAATGATTCCAGCCTCATCCAAGTTCAGTCAACTATCGAGACAAGCCTGAGACTGGCGCCCTTCCTGGTCTGGAATCCCGAGAGGGGTTTTAATTCTGGACAAGGCTGAACCCTGCACTGTAATGTTAGTAGAAGTGATGTACTGCTTTAGACTTCCAATCTGACACTGTACAGCCTCCAAATCCTGTAGCAGTGCATACAATGAATGCTCCTATACCAATACATATCCATGCTTTCACATTGTAAACGTTCAGTTCATGTTTCATATACCAAATTCTTAATTGTTGGAATGTAACATGAAATTCATGGCAGTGTTTCCTGTTATTTCCAGTAATCATTACAATGTATTCATTTGATGTCATGTTGCTATGGCAACTCCTCACAATCAATGAAATCAGGGAAACTATCTGAACAAAAATGGCAGTTACCATAAAATAACTGGATAATTCTCAGGAAGACTGTATGTTGTTCTGCAGAAATCGAGGAAGCCGATGTCGGGAGATGATGTAGGAGACATCTGGGAGGACACCAAGGACATGGGCATCCTGTTGGGCAGGGGAGGACTGTACGGGAATGTAAGATCCTCCGTCCTTCACTGGCAGTCTTATGATCCTTCATCCTTCGCTGACAGTCTTAAGATCCTCCGTCCTTCACTGGCAGTCTTATGATCCTTCATCCTTCGCTGACAGTCTTAAGATCCTCCGTCCTTCACTGGCAGTCTTATGATCCTTCATCCTTCGCTGACAGTCCTAAGATCCTTCATCCTTCGCTGACAGTCCTAAGATCCTTCATCCGTCACTGACAGTCCTAAGATCATTCATCCTTCACTGACAGTCCTAAGATCATTCATCCTTCACTGACAGTCCTAAGATCATTCATCCTTCACTGACAGTCCTAAGATCATTCATCCTTCACTGACAGTCCTAAGATCATTCATCCTTCACTGACAGTCCTAAGATATTTCATCCTTTGTTGACAGTCCTAAGATCACTTCATTCTTCACTGACAGTCCTAAGATCTCATCCATCCTTCGTTGACTGTCCTAAGATCATTCATCCTTCGCTGACAGTCCTAAGATCCTTCATCCTTCACTGACAGTCCTAAGATCCTTCATCCTTCACTGACAGTCCTAAGATCATTCGTCTGTCATTGACAGTCCTAAGATCATTCATCCTTCACTGACAGTCCTAAGATCCTTCATCCTTCACTGACAGTCCTAAGATCATTCATCCTTCACTGACAGTCCTAAGATCCTTCATCCTTCACTGACAGTCCTAAGATCATTCATCCGTCACTGACAGTCCTAAGATCTTTCATCCTTCACTGACAGTCCTAAGATCTTTCATCCTTCACTGACAGTCCTAAGATCACTCATTCTTCACTGACAGTCCTAAGATCACTCATCCTTCACTGACTGTCCTAAGATCATTCATCCTTCGCTGACAGTCCTAAGATCCTTCATCCTTCACTGACAGTCCTAAGATCCTTCATCCTTCACTGACAGTCCTAAGATCATTCATCCTTCACTGACAGTCCTAAGATCATTCATCCTTCACTGACAGTCCTAAGATCCTTCATCCTTCACTGACAGTCCTAAGATCATTCATCCTTCACTGACAGTCCTAAGATCTTTCATCCTTCACTGACCGTCCTAAGAGAATTTATCCTTCACTGACAGTCCTAAGATCATTCATCCTTCACTGACAGTCCTAAGATCACTCATTCTTCACTGATCTGTGTTTCAGAGCTTCCGGATCAAACCACCAATGTGCATCACGGACGAAGATATTGATTATGCTGTTGCCATCATGAGAAGAGCTTTCGAGAATTATGCTGTCCGCAGAAAGTAGTCGTCAAATTTGAGAGAATAATCCAGTATTTGACCCTAGTCTCCATTAAAATGGTCTTTATGCATTTAGAAAGCATGGCTTTGTCTATATACTCTGTGGATCTCTATATTGTAGGAACAGTCCCCGTGAAAACTGAAGAATCTTAATAGTGCATTTTCAATAAATTGAGATCACTACCTCAAGTCTTTATGCTATGTTCATGGTCAACAATGAAAGTTAATCCCAGATATAACAAGTGTTACAGGAATTATGAACTTTTTTATTCACTTCCGCAAGTATACTAAGTACTATAGCGTTACTCTTTTCCTATTTTAATGTCTGAGGGACAGTAAATATGTACTTAGAATCTCCTCAGGTATGGATTGTGTTCACCATGTTTAATGTCCAACACAAACTGTTCACGTGTCAGGAGTCATATTGTCAGTCTAATCACCGGCTGAAATTCACTGACCAATAACCAGACTGTCAAACCTGTGGAATCTATTTAACCAGGTTGCAGCAATGAATGTAAGTGAAGCATATGTTCTTTTGACTATGATGTCAATGCATTGTTACCTAGATTTTAATACATACCATTAATGATATGGTTATGTGAATTAAAGTTAGTGCACCTTGCTCAACAGAATACACAGTGACCACATTTTCATTTGTATAGTGAGATTTAGTCAATTAGAATTTTGAAATACCTGTGAAAATTGTTCAAGCCAGATCACAGATGCCAGTGAGTCAGTAGTTGGTGTGCGCAGTATGTAAACACTTTTGATAGATTACTCAGGAACTGCACTTGGTATCATGGTATTTGTAATCTGTCAACTAGCCCAGAGCTGTTCTGCTTTCCGAATAATGAATTAATGAATATGTAAGTCTGCGTTTTTTGCTTTTTGGATTTAAGTATTCAAGCAACTGAAACTAGATTACACATGATGAAATAACTTGTGATATTTTGATTCAGGATTACCAGAACCATTTTCTAATTAGAAAATTTGTGGAATTTTCATTCAAACAATTCAAAATATGATTACACTTCCTTTTCCTATTTATAAGAATAATTCTTTAGTCATACTAATTCTACAAAGACTTTCTCATTTTTTATACATTCTAATGGGCTTTAGAATTTTGTTGATAATTTAATGTCATGTTTATTTCCTAATGTCTCACTGCCTAACGCCGTCCATATGCATTTCTCAGCTAGTAGATTTAGGTGTGTAATCTCGATCTGATATCCTCAATGTGTTCACTTTGAGATAAGGTGATTATGTTGTTATGTTTATGTGATGTTTCAATAATGAATTTTACCGGTAATCATTTTCCTTTGTTTAATATAACAGTATATACAGGCACTGTTGAATGTTGTGATGCTTTGTAAACATCTCATTATTCCATGCTGACATCCACGCAGTATATATTGTTATCAATTTCATGTGTTCAAGGTTTAATACGATAGTATGGAATAACGAACTTGCTTGTTTCCCGGTGTACTTTAATGTTTCCCTTGTGTCTGCATGGATGTGAGGTCCATTATGGGTTAGATGTATGGATGAATCACATACTGTAAGAAATACACACTTTAGGTGTATGGATGAATCAAGTGTTATATGAATTAGAGAGGTACAGATGTATGGATGATTCACTTACTGTAAGGAATAGACAGGTAAAGGTGTACAGATGAATCACTTACTGTAAGGAATAGACAGGTAAAGGTGTACAGATGAATCACTTACCGTAAGGAATAGACAGGTAAAGGTGTACAGATGAATCACTTCTGTAAGGAATAGACAGGTAAAGGTGTACAGATGAATCACTTACCGTAAGGAATAGACAGGTAAAGGTGTACAGATGAATCACTTACTGTAAGGAATAGACAGGTAAAGGTGTACAGATGAATCACTTACCGTAAGGAATAGACAGGTAAAGGTGTACAGATGAATTCACTTACCGTAAGGAATAGACAGGTAAAGGTGTACAGATGAATCACTTACTGTAAAGGAATAGACAGGTAAAGGTGTACAGATGAATCACTTTACCGTAAGGAATAGACAGGTAAAGGTGTACAGATGAATCACTTACTGTAAGGAATAGACAGGTAAAGGTGTACAGATGAATCACTTACCGTAAGGAATAGACAGGTAAAGGTGTACAGATGAATCACTTCTGTAAGGAATAGACAGGTAAAGGTGTACAGATGAATCACTTACCGTAAGGAATAGACAGGTAAAGGTGTACAGATGAATCACTTACTGTAAGGAATAGACAGGTAAAGGTGTACAGATGAATCACTTACTGTAAGGAATAGACAGGTAAAGGTGTACAGATGAATCAATTACCGTAAGGAATAGACAGGTAAAGGTGTACAGATGAATCACTTACTGTAAGGAATAGACAGGTAAAGGTGTACAGATGAATCACTTACCGTAAGGAATAGACAGGTAAAGGTGTACAGATGAATCACTTCTGTAAGGAATAGACAAGGTAAAGGTGTACAGATGAATCACTTACCGTAAGGAATAGACAGGTAAAGGTGTACAGATGAATCACTTCTGTAAGGAATAGACAGGTAAAGGTGTACAGATGAATCACTTACCGTAAGGAATAGACAGGTAAAGGTGTACAGATGAATCACTTACTGTAAGGAATAGACAGGTAAAGGTGTACAGATGAATCAATTACCGTAAGGAATAGACAGGTAAAGGTGTACAGATGAATCACTTCTGTAAGGAATAGACAAGTAAAGGTGTACAGATGATTCAATTACTTCGTAAGGAATAGACAGGTAAAAAGACAGATGTCAAAGGTAAGGAATAGACAGAAGGATCAGATTACTGTAAGGAATAGACAGGTAAAGGTGTACAGATGAATCAATTTACTGTAAGGAATAGACAGGTAAAGGTGTACAGATGAATCACTTACCGTAAGGAATAGACAGGTAAAGGTGTACAGATGAATCACTTACTGTAAGGAATAGACAGGTAAAGGTGTACAGATGAATCACTTGTAAGGAATAGACAGGTAAAGGTGTACAGATGATTCAAACGTAAGGAATAGACAGGTAAAGGTGTACAGATGAATCACTTACTGTAAGGAATAGACAGGTAAAGGTGTACAGATGAATCACTTCTGTAAGGAATAGACAGGTAAAGGTGTACAGATGAATCACTTCTATGAGGAATAGACAGGTAAAGGTGTACAGATGAATCACTTACTGTAAGGAATAGACAGGTAAAGGTGTACAGATGAATCACTTACTGTAAGGAATAGACAGGTAAAGGTGTACAGATGAATCACTTCTGTAAGGAATAGACAGGTAAAGGTGTACAGATGAATCACTTCTGTAAGGAATAGACAGGTAAAGGTGTACAGATGAATCAATTACCGACAGGTAAAGGTGTAAGGAATAGACAGGTAAAGGTGTACAGATGAATCACTTACTGTAAGGAATAGACAGGTAAAGGTGTACAGATGAATCACTTACTGTAAGGAATAGACAGGTAAAGGTGTACAGATGAATCACTTCTATAAGGAATAGACAGGTAAAGGTGTACAGATGAATCACTTACTGTAAGCAATAGACAGGTAAAGGTGTATGGATGAATCACTTACTGTAAGGAATAGACAGATAAAGATGTACAGATGAATCACTTACTGTAAGGAATAGACAGGTAAAGGTGTACAGATGACTCACTTACCGTAAGGAATAGACAGATAAAGGTGTATAGATGAATCAAGTGTCATGTGAATTGGACAGGTGTAGATGTGTGGATGAATCGGGAACTATCTGAAACTGTGTTGTGTAGTAACATTACGACATACCGTAACTCTATACTTAACTATAAGCTTACAAATGTCATAGTGCAGCGAACGTGTTGTGGATAGGTTCCCTGGTACCTTTCTTCTATGGTGACCTTGACCTTTATGTTGACATCCACTGGTTGTCTTGACTTGTATGCTGGTGGACATCCACTGGTTGTCTTGACCTGTATGCTGTGGACATCCACTGGTTGTCTTGGTCTGTATGCTGTGGACATCCACTGGTTGTCTTGAACTGTATGCTGGTGGACATCCACTAGTTGTCTTGGTCTGTATGCTGTGGACATCCACTGGTTGTCTTGGTCTGTATGCTGGTGGACATCCACTGGTTGTCTTGAACTGTATGCTGTGGACATCCACTGGTTGTCTTGGTCTGTATGCTGGTGGACATCCACTGGTTGTCTTGAACTGTATGCTGGTGGACATCCACTGGTTGTCTTGGTCTGTATGCTGTGGACATCCACTGGTTGTCTTGGTCTGTATGCTGGTGGACATCCACTGGTTGTCTTGACCTGTATGCTGGTGGACATCCACTGGTTGTCTAGACCTGTATGCTGGTGGACATCCACTGGTTGTCTTGGTCTGTATGCTGGTGGACATCCACTGGTTGTCTTGGTCTGTATGCTGTTGACATCCACTGGTTGTCTTGGTCTGTATGCTGGTGGACATCCACTGGTTGTCTTGACCTGTATGCTGGTGGACCTCCACTGGTTGTCTAGACCTGTATGCCGGTTTACATCCACAGGTTGTCTTGGTCTGTATGCTGGTGGACATCCACTGGTTGTCTTGGTCTGTATGCTGTGGACATCCACTGGTTGTCTTGGTCTGTATGCTGGTGGACATCCACTGGTTGTCTTGACCTGTATGCTGGTGGACCTCCACTGGTTGTCTAGACCTGTATGCCGGTTTACATCCACAGGTTGTCTTGGTCTGTATGCTGGTGGACATCCACTGGTTGTCTTCACCTGTATGCTGGTGGACATCCACAGGTGGTCTTGGTCTGTATGCTGTGGACATCCACTGGTTGTCTTGGTCTGTATGCTGGTGGACATCCACTGGTTGTCTTGAACTGTATGCTGGTGGACATCCACTGGTTGTCTTGGTCTGTATGCTGTGGACATCCACTGGTTGTCTTGGTCTGTATGCTGGTGGACATCCACTGGTTGTCTTGGTCTGTATGCTGGTGGACATCCACTGGTTGTCTTCACCTGTATGCTGGTGGACATCCACAGGTTGTCTTGGTCTGTATGCTGGTGGACATCCACAGGTTGTCTTGGTCTGTATGCTGGTGGACATCCACTGGTTGTCCTCACCTGTATGCTGGTGGACATCCACTGGTTGTCTTCACCTGTATGCTGGTGGACATCCACAGGTGGTCTTGGTCTGTATGCTGGTGGACATCCACTGGTTGTCTTCACCTGTATGCTGGTGTATATCTAGTTATGACATAACTACAATGGCTATTCATACTGTTTTAGGTATGTTTTGTGCTATGACTGATACTATTGTACTTGCTTATTACCATATATTGATTATTAATCTGTCAGACAATATTTGGAGAAATAAACTCTAAGACACCTGATTTTGTATGAGTTTTGTTTCCATGCCCTTGTTCTTCAACAGTCCGTTTCATAGAAGACAAGTTGAAAATATGACATACCAGTGCTTAACCAGTCTCGGTGGTCTGACTAAACCGTCCGCTCGTCACGCTGAAGACCCGGGTTCGATTCCCCACATGGGTACAATGTGTGAAGCTCATTTCTGGTGTCCCCCGCCGTGATATTGCTGGAATATTGCTAAAAGCGGCGTAAAACCAAACTCACTCACTCACTCACTCACTCTGACTAAACAGATTCCATTGTAAAAGACAAATCATCAGTGAAAACTCCATGAAGCGATCACTGTAACAGCCACACTTGCGTGGATACAATCAGTTTACTGCAATATCTCATTGACATTTTGTTATTTGTGTTTGTTTTGTTTCCTGCCACACTCAGCAATATCCCAGCTGTAAGAGGGCGGGCATGTAACAGATTCACACACAGGTCATGTGGAAGGGCTTCGACTATATCACTTTAATTAACAAACAAATGAAAAGACACCGTGTCAGTGCATAACACACCAGCAGTTATTGTATAAATGTTAGTAGACAGGGTAACAGTTGGTGGAACTGCATGAAACACAAGCTAAAAAGGATCTATTGACGTTATGAAGATGGTACAGATATTGGTTGGATGTGCACACGTAACAGAACATTTCAATGCATGCATAGAGGATACTAAAGAACCTTCCGTGTAATACCATTCACGAGTTTAATAAAAATGGTATTTCACGGAAGCGAGTTTAGTATTCTGTTTATTACTCTCCAACATAAACTGATAGAAACTGCCTACAGGGTGATGTCCAGCAAGGTCTAATACCATTGTGACGGAAGTATTACTATTGTGACGTCTTAACTGTAAGCCATTATGACGTCATACGTCTAGCGGTATTTCACTAGTGTAATATATTGCCTACATGGGCGAGTAATAAAGACAAGAACACGTTGATGCTCGATGCGATAATGGTTTACAATTATGACGTCATACGTCTATCGGTATTACACGGGCGAGTAATACTAAACGACCTTCCGCGTAATACCATTTTTATTAAACGAGTTAATGGTTTGATACTAAATCTTTTCACGAGTTTAATAAAAATGGTATTTCATGGAAGCGAGTTTAGTATTCTGTTTATTACTCTCCAACATAAATTGCGAAACTGCCTACACAGTGTGATGACTCTCAGTAGGGCTGTGCAATATTAACGATATATACCGGTACAGTATCTCGCGATACGATTATCGCGATATGGTTCAGATTCTGCAATATATTGCGTCATCCAGAATTAGCTCCCTTTGAATTATCTGCCCTTGATTGCCATAGCAACAGAATGTGCTCTAAAAGTACCAAATATACATTTATTTCTCTTGGTTTCATATAACATTTTACAAGTGGAAGTGTCTTTATAAGTGGCTCCAAAAGTGCCAAATATTCTACCAAATGCTTTAAGTTTTGTGGATTTGAAAGGTTTCATATGTGACGATTTGGAGGAATTAAGTGGCCTCAAATGGACCAATCTTTTAGGAAAGGCAAGATTTATGGATGTCAATTTCTTGTTGTGAATAACACGACGTTTCGGAGTGTATGCTTGCTCCTTCATAGAGTCATGAAGGAGCAAGCATACACTCCAAAACTTCCTGCTATTCACAATAAAGGAGGTGACATCCATAAATCTTGCTTTTCTTATGCATTCCACTTCTAAATGCCCTTAAATGATTTGACAAATCTTTTATTTGGACTTATAAGTAGAATTTCTGGCTCTGAGTGACCATTTTGTTTGTTTTGTAATAGGACATATGTTATCAATTTATCATAAAGGCCAAAGTCTTATAAATTTTGTAGGACTGTATAATGACATTCTGGTCAAGAAGTTGTTCACCTAAATCATGTTGGGTTTTTTTCATTTTGCAATAGCTCATGTTAACACATGTTTATATTGGAGCTGAATGTGAATGAGTGAGTGAGTGAGTTTAGTTTTACGCCGCACCGTAAATAATCGAGTCTGGACCAGACAATCCAGTGATCAACAGCATGAGCATCGATCTGCGCAGTTGGGAACCGATGACATGTGTCAACCAAGTCAGCGAGCCTGACCACCGGATTCCGTTAGTCGCCTCTTACGACAAGCATAGTCGCCTGTTGTGGCAGAATGTGATGAATCACTGACATAGAGTAACAATAATTACATACTGCTTTGAAGTGCATTCTGTTAAAGAAAACAACGCTGATAATGAAAATCTTGTTATACTATTAAATTTATCATTATGTTCGCAAAACTTTGCTGCAACACAGTACTTCAATTAAACATTCTACATTAAGGCTCTGTATCATGTCATTTATCTGTAAACCATTGGCATACAGTCATACACAATGGGGACGGGGAGCCCTGAAAGTATGGTGTGACAGCAACTAAGAAGACGATGTCACACACAGAGAGCTATTATGAATTAATGATGTACACACTTGGGCAGAAACCTTCCAGTCAATATATCACAATATGTATTGCAATATCTCTTATATTATTGCAATATATCGCAATATGAGAATCAGGACAATATCCCCCCTAACTCTCAGCTTTCCGCAAGTCAAGCAAGGTCTAATAGCATTGTGACAGAGGTATTAGCTTTGTGACGTCATAACTGTAAGCCATGTAAGTGTTTTCAGGGGGTTTTGCCGCTCCCACCCCTACCACTTTCCCGGCTCCGCCAATGCAATACATTAAATTCTATGTGGTCTTCAGTCATTTTCAAAGGAACCAGTCCCCACCCGCCTTGGATCCGCCAATGGTGGGTGCACACAGACGAGAACATGCTGATTGGCCCAAAAGCGAAAACACTGGGTGTACACACAGACGAGACCATTTCTAGTGCAGTCAGATAAGAATATCTAGATGCACACACAGATAATACATAATCGAGGTTATTGAATGAGTTGGTTTTTCGCTGCTTTAATCAATATTCCAGCAATATCGATCAACTCAAAGGACTACCTCATTGGAAACAATTCCGTAATGTATAATTTAACACTCTTATCCTCCTTCTGTTAAACCTGTTACAATTTTATGTGTGAACTTTCTCGTAGTTCCATTCTTTCTGGTCCATAAAGGAAATGTTTATTCAAGCTTGTTTAACTACAAACCAAGATATTAATCAAATCTCGATTATTTACGGACACAGTTTATATTAGACATAAAAACGATAATGAAAATACATAGAAATGGATCACTGAAAATAGGTGTTAACACCGGGTGTCACAAGTGTAGTCACGCATTTGTTTCATTCCCTAAATTCTGATAAAAGCGTCAACACCCTTTTCTTCATCCACGGGAAACCTCTGCCAACAGCAGAGCTACATCCATGCGGTGAAACTGATTGTTTCAGGGTATGTACTCAAACAGAATCTGTTACTGGCGCCAATGAAATGATAGTGCATGCAAAAACAACTGTTTCAAGGTATGACAACGATCACCAGAGCACCTGGCAAATGAACCACAACACAAGAGGGTGTTCACAGGCAAGTTCACACAGTCAGTGTGTCCACCTTGTGCATTGGTGCAGGCCTGGACCTCCTTTCATAAAGCACTAAGGTGATCGTAAGTCACTAAGGTAACCGTAGTGCAATGTTAAAGGATGGGAGTTAAGGTCAACCTTAGTAAAGGTTGCTTCGTGAAAGGAACCCCTGGCACCTACCCCTCATTGTGGCCAACGTAAATGAGAGTCCTGGCGATGACCATTTCACATCCGAGGAAGGATTTGGATCCGCAACGTTGTTGGAGGATGACGTCACAAACATCGCTCTATTTCATCCCAAACGTGTTCAATGGGTGACAACAAATCCGGGAATTTTGTGGGCCAGGTAAGATATTGCTGTACAACCTGAGCAACGTGTGGTCAGGAGTTATCGTGATGAAACGTCATTCCAGAGCAGTTCTTTTTATTCAAGCGGCCATTTGCAAAATCTCGTTTCGTTAAATCGCAGCATTCAAGTTCCCCTCAGTCACAATCACCTAGGTCCCACCCCAGGTCATCACGCCCCCAATCTCAAAACCGTTCCCTTTCTGCAGCACATGTGCATGGCCTGATGTAATGTTCACCCGTAGACACATGTCCTGTCGTCTGCTCGGTGAAGAAGGAAACGTGAAGAGTGCCCTTCACCTCTCATATGCTCCAGTCACAAGTGTTGTCTCCTCTACTGGAGACGTCGAGTGGTCTGAGAATGTCGCACGGATGATAAGCTCGTAGACGTCGTCGATCTGCTCGTAGATCCATCGATCATGACGTGGGGTCGTTACTGGTGGGCGGCCATTACAGGGGCGGTCTTTCGATTGTTTTGCTGAAAATTTCAAACTGGGTATGGTAGTTGAATCGACGAGTAACGTTTACGTTTGGTTTCAATGCTGTGGTTTTGAACACTGACTCGAGGCGAAAGTACAGAGTCCTTCGAGACAGAAATTATGACTTCGAAGCGGAAAGTTCACAATGAATCCTTCATGCTGCCATCATGTCATCAGTGTGTTAATATGATCACATGTTTCATATTAACACACATTATTTACCATTTTAAAACCAGTTGGAAGTGACAAATATTGAAATTTAACAAGGCATTGTTCGGGAGTTTGACTGAATCGTATTGCAAAATGAATAAGGAATTTCAATATGTTTGCTTATGCCAAAGTAGAGCATGGGAACCATGCAGGTGTATGTTGTATATAACAAGTCGGCAGTTGTATGCAACCACTGACATGAAGGTCCATAAACCTTTGAATCGTCATTTAAAAAAATAGAAATCAGAATGAAAAGGTATCTATTTCATGTCATCACATTAATATAAATACAAAACTTTGGTGCAGCGATTAATATTGAACGGATTAGATGATTTGGACACGCTTTTCGACATGCATTTGGTCAAACGACTGAAATTGCAAATACATGTATACTACTGGAATAAAGTAACTCTGCATTATTTGATATCATGCCAT